TTTGCCAGTGCAAAGTAGAAGATGATAATGCTCCCATTAAAAATGAGGTGAATGCACAAGCTAACTTGAGTGGGTGGAAGGACTTCACACAGAATGAAGCTGGGGACAAACCTGTCCTTGCCAAGATAAACAGCTGCAGCAATTTCCATAAAGCTAAAGGGCCCTGCTGCATTGCTATTCAAATAATTCACCCACATAGTGCTATCTGGGGCTGTGTATCCATCATGTTGTAATTAAAATCAATGGATTTCATCTGTAGAAATAAAGGTGCGTTGTAAGTCATGCGAGAGGACAGGAGAACTGATATCATTAGGACAACAAACTGATATTCCTTAGGACAATAAAAATATGGGTATGTGCAAATCAAAGCAGAAAGCTCCCACTTTCCTTCCTACATCTGTCTTTCATTTGCTTTGCCTTGCTCTGCCTGTTGTTGATGTTCTCTTGGTCCCTTTGTTCAAGCTGCCTCTCATCCCAAGAAGGCAGAGAGCACCAGGTGTGAATGAGAGCTGTGAGCATGAACTCACTGTTGCTGTTATTATTGTTATCATTCCTCTGGAAATCAGTTTGATGGAGATTTGGCTCTTTGCAACTTGTTCTGCTGGTTTAACCTAGTCTACATGAAATGTGGAAGTACAATAAAGTGAAGAGCTTTGGATGGTGGCTTTCACCCAAAGATGCAACCTGATCTAATAAATGCTGGTGTGCTTTGGAGCAAGGTGTATAAGCTATGGATTTGGATGTGCTGCTTGAATGCCTTAGGTGTCCAGAATGTGATGCAAAGCCCATTTCAGTCAGTGGAAGGTCTCTGCTTGCATGTTGGCTCCAGTTCTCATTGCAGCTGCACACACAGTGCAGTTTACTGGGTGTTAAACCTGGAGAGAGGGCAGAATGCTTTGTGAGCTTTATAGGCTGTTAGGCAGGCACAGGTTAACTCAAAGATGGACCCATTGGGGTTTTGAGTCCTGACTCCTTTTCACATCTGCAAAATACGGGGGCAGTGCCAGGACTGAAAGCCTTGAGGTGCTTCCCATTGACCTCAAATCCACACAGTGGTGCTCTTGAGATATTCCTGCACTGACCAAAGCATGTCCTTGACACATAAAGTCCATGAGCTGGTGCAAGGTGAGGCATCTGGCTGCCAAGCTGCAAGAGGGACTGGCACTGTGCATTTGTGCTTCTGTTACTATCTGCCCTTCCAATACCCAGCGCCTGAAACTCACTCTTTAAATGCACAGAGATATTACAAGGCTCCTATTTAAATTGAGAAAAACAGTCTGTTAAAAAAGCTAATATAGAATCTGTAATGCTCAATAAAAAGTTTGTGTTTTACAGTTTAAGACCCCAGTGAAAATAAGTATTAAATATTCCCACCATCCAGCTATTTAGCAGCCTAGACTCATGCTACTTTTTTTTCCTTTACTATTGTTCCATTACTGGCAGCAGACTTATGGTGTCTGGTTATTTTTTGTCTTTGGACAACTCGTGATTTTTGCAGTTCCTCTGGCTCCACCTGTACATCCAACAGGACTCTCTTCATTTAATATATGTCTAAGTGGTTCCGTCTGCTCCAGTTGAGTCCTTGCAAATGCTACAGAGCTCCTTTCTGAGGCTGTGTTAGGTGGCTGTATCTTTGGGAATGATCTTGGAAAAGTCAGCAGCAGCAGGCACAGTCTGCCATAACCTTAAGACAAATCCCTGCTTTCTCCCTGCTTTGATATATTGTTCCTTCCCACCAATAATTCGAAGCTCCTCTGCCTTCATTCAGTAGTGATTAAATACACAGGCAATGATGTGTGCTGTCTGTAGGCCACGTTGTATCTTCATTTCTAGCATGACAGTAGTTGAGTAATTGCAGCCTACTGGAACTGCACCTTGGCTAGCAATTCTTAGGACTGCTTGCATAGGATGAGAGGTTTTGAGTACAGCAATTTCTAGGAGTTTCATGAGAACAAGCAGGAAAGCTCTATTAGTGAAGGGTGAGATAATAAGATCTAATATTAAAAAAAAATACTGGGGTAGAGGGGAAACTTCCGAAGGCCAAAGCTCTCTCGGGAATACTTTTCACCCATTTAAGTGCTTTTCAGGAAGAGGGAAGCAACAGTACTCTTTAAGTCCAAGCTGGTTAAAAGGAAAGAAGCTGTATATGGAGAGCTAGATATATATGGTAGCAGTCTGTGTTGGATACTTCTGCGCTGCTCTGCAGATGGCAGCTGTCCTTATCTTGATCAAAGGAACAGGGTAGGTCCTGGGTATCTATGGCTGAGTGTTACAGCATTTGTAATAGGTGGCTCAGAAAAGCCATTTATACACATTGGAAGTCAATTGGAGGGGTCTATTCTCTACACCTGGGAAATTTCTGGGAGTTCAGAAACTGAGAAGATTGGAAACTGCTGAGCACAATGAGATGTGGGCTCACACTGAGGCTGTGTGCAGCTGAACAGTTTCCCAGCCCCAGCTGCAAGGGGAGCACATGTGGGTGCTGCTCCAGATTTGGACCCTGGGAGCACTGATCCCAAAGATGTGCTGCTGGGCAGCAGTGTGGTTACTGAGCTGCTCCACAAGGAAGGCAGCAGCCTGCTCTGAGTCTTTCTCATCTCAGCTTCCCCTCTTTCCAGTGCAAATCTATTAACAGGAAAATCTCAAGTTAGAGGAAAAAGCTGCAGTTACAGTCTGGGAGTACAGAGAGAGGTCAGAGTAAGGAGAAGCTTATGCAAAAGTCACTGCTGGGCTGGTATCTGGCTGTGCTGACTGAAGGGTTGGATTGGGTTTAGGCCTGTGACTGGGCAGGATGCTTCAGAGTGAAAAGACTTGGCTGGAGGAGATGGGTTGGGGCTAGGAATAGCTGGCTGTGTGTCATGGGGTACAGTTAGGGCCGTGGCTGGGCCATAGGGATTGGTTGGGAGAACTGGGATGGGGATTGCCTGGTATTTCAAGAGATGGAATCTTTTGTACCCTGCTTTCTTGATTGCCCTTTGTGCTCAATGGCAATCCCTTCCTGTGCCATGGTTAGTTCAGTTCTAGCTATCTTAAGTGCCTGTGCCTCACACTACATTTCCTGGTGGTGGATGTTTCTAAAACAGCTTTGCTAGTGGAATCTTCTGAATTACAGTGTGTTAAAGAGCAAATAATTTTTTACGTAATTAAGAACCAAACAATAATTCTGTGATCAGCAAAAAGCCTGCAAGGTCAGCTGCAAGGCAGAATGCAGAGAACAGAAAGGATATGCCATCAGGAAATCTCTGTATCTTGGTTGGGCTTCTAACTGCCAGGCATTGTGACAGCAATGCCAACACTGCTCCAAAACCTTGACGTAGAAGAGGAAAACAGGGCTCTCAGATCCTTTATGGACCATGCAGAACATTTCTCCAGCTCACACCCAGACATGCAGAGGTTAACCAAGTGGTTTCTCCCAGGTGACAAGGACCAGAGGCTGAGACTGCTTCAGAATGACTCGTTGCACACCAGGTGAAGCAATTTTTTCACATACAAAAAGGTAACGGTGAGATTCTCCACATCTCTGCCCAAATGAATGTAACAAACCCACGTTATTTTAAGAGGACCCTTCCCCAGAGAACAATTTCTCCATCCAGTGCTGGTATTGGAAAAATCTTAAAATTGGATGTTCCCATTTTTTTTTTTTTTTTTTCCAGTTCTTCCATACCTTTAGTGTAGAAGAAAGAACTTAGACATACAAGATTCTTGTGCTATGGATTTATAATAACTTTTTATTAATATATTATGCTACAAAAATATTTTGACAAAATAATATTAGAAAGCATCTTTTTATTACACTCTTCAAAACAGTTCACAAAAGCAGGAGGCGGAACAGGAAAAAATATTTGAAATACATTTGAATCAAAAACTGACAAACATGCAATTTAAAATTCAGTGTGAGCATGAATCTACAGGGCAGTTAATCATTCCTGTAAGTGAGAAATGTGGATTACTACTTGGCAAGATCTTGCTGTAGCTAGATTAAGGTGCCTCCTGAAGAGCTTGATGCAGGAAAGTCTGTATTTAGGTTGGGACAAAGCACACACGTGCACCCCCAAACACTCGTACGGACACTCAAGCCCATGAGCTCAAAATTAGGAAGCTGGCTCTCTGCTCCAATTAAGCCAAAACAGGCTGAAGCTGAAATCTTGCATGCTATGTTGATCACTCTGGAGATAAAGCAAGCCCCTGTGCTTTTTGGATATAAAATAGAAATGTCTTACGGTACTACGCAAAGTGAGGAGTGATAACTGTGATAACCACTATGGCACTTTGGTTTCTCTGACTTAAAGGTATGATGGGAAACTCCTCTCTAACAGTGGTATATGTAAGGACTGATTGGGATTTATCATTCTACTAATCAATGCACTGAGCATGGTGCTCGTTCCCTCTGTCTCTCATCATTGTAGAAGACAAACATACAGCTCTGTACCTTGGGTGTTCCTAAGTTATGCTGGAGATTGGAGGAATGGGAAGTTCAACAGAGTATATTTTTGACACCTGTACGAAGCATAGTTACTATAAATCATTTCATTTATTTCTGGAAGAAGTATTGCATTATTCAACAGCCCAAGGGATTGCAGAGAAACTGCATCAGTCATAAAATACAACATACCTTCTGTTGCAGCTTTATTGACTGGTTCTTCAAGTGGCGATGCATGTTAATACAGCATCTGTAGTTAAACATTGGCAAGAGAAACACTGAAACAATTACAGAGTGGAAGTCAGTCCTGTTGCTGGTGGTATGGTATTTACTGGGACAATAGCTAGGTAGAAAACAACATTCCTTTCTAATATTACCACTACACATACTTTGAATTGCAGTAGTGTCAGTTGCAGCTGAGTTGATAAGGTGAATCACACAAACGTTCAACTGTGGGCCCAACAGTGTGGAACATTTGTGTACCTGTTTGCTAGACACTGAATGACTCCCTTGATTGTGTTTCTTACAAGTAAACGCTATCATCAGTATTTGCTGTCTTACATAGTGTGGATTATATTTATTTTTAAGACCCTCTCCTGCAATTTGTCACTGGAAATCTGAGTTTTCATCAGAAAGAGATAAAGCAGTTGGATCCTCACTCTCTGAGAAATCCACTGAATAAAAGTGAAGCCCCGTGAAGCTGGTAGTCAGTGTTACTTCCAGAACATGCATCAAATCTGATATACACTATAAAATCACATGGAATAAAATCATGATCCAATGTGCATAGATCTGTGCCAATACACCAGTACTGATGTATTTCAATTAATACTGAGCTAGTGTAGCTGATTAATAAATAACCTGTTTTATTAATCACAGTGAGGGTCTCATTTTCTAGTACTGTGATCCTTGCTTGCCAAGGATTTTAAAAAGAGTAACAAGTTACCCAAAGTCATAGCTTAGGGAAGACAAAATAAGAAATACTTGGTCAGCAAACTACGCTGAAGCCATTCAGCTGGGGTTCCTGAGCTAGTATCTGTGAGAAGCATCTTCTCTTAAACTTATTGCAAGTGGTTTCTTCTTCCCTAGCCAGGGGTGATGGTGTGAGCTGGCAGAAGGGTGCTGGCTCCAAGCCCAGCCGATACCTTGCTTGGACATCTGCACTGCAGGATGACTGGGCAGAAGGATAAGTGAAATGCGGCGACCTCCAAATGAGTGCTCACTCATTTCACAGAGACTATAGGTAAAATGCCAAGAAATGTAAATATGCCACAACGTATGACATCATAGCTTTGATGTCCAAGCTATTTACATACTGTGATATCCAAACACGCTGTGATATAGGAGCTAGTATTACTATTACTGTCCATTGGACTCAGGAAATATTTATTAGTGACAAACAGTGATTATTCTGTGTGGTACAGTGACAGCTGTGGCTGTGTGCTCATTATAAGAAAAAAGAAAAAAGACTAAGAGTCCTACAGAGAAAACCACAGGTTGGGTAGAGTGGAACTGTAGGTTCCAGTCTTGATCCTGTTGGTGGTTTTCCTTATGGTCCTGGCCATGCTGTTTCTGTTTTTTTTTACTCCTTTTTTTTATTTTTATTTTTTTTATTTTTATTTTTTTTTACTTTTTTTTTTCTCTGATCTTCATATGGTTTTATCTGTTAGTTCTGTAAGCTCTCTGACACTGGGAATTATTTCTGGTATGGCACCACAGAATCATTTCTGGACTTGATCAGATCACAGCAAATAAAATTCAATGGGCTTTGATTCATCGGCTGTTCACTTTTACCGTGTAACTAATCATCACCCTTATGACTTGCCTACCTTATTTCCAGCTCAATTTTTGTAACTAACGTCCTGTCATTCAGTTCTGAACTCTGTTTTGAATATGGCAGGAGAACCAATCTTTTAGAATGTGTTAAGGTTGAATTTGAAGGCCTGTTAAGCCATTATATTCAAATGAAGCCACTTTGGGGGAAATGGACAAATAAAACTGAAATGAAAGTTCTCAAAATATGTTTCCAATATCTAACTCAGTGCAATAAATATTATGCAAGGTGAATGGCTTCTGTCCAAAGCTAACATCTCTAATCTTCTGCTAGCCAAAATACACAACACAGAAGTATGCACAGGGTGTGCTTGAATCTCCTATTTGGGGCAAAGCTTGAAGTTTTCCATTCAGTCTTATCAACTATTGTGCTTTATAAAGCAGGGGCAGCTTACACGGCTGTCTGCTGCACCCACTTAAGTCAATCACAAATCTATACATCCTTTTCTCCAAAATAAAGCAAGAGCTGGAAGTCATGGGCTGTAGTAAGGCAGATGAAAGTAAAGTGTTCTCCCTTGCCTTGGCAAAGCAATGGGCTGGGATGCATGGTGGAAAAGCTCAGGTTTATCATGGTTCCAAATAAAACCACGTACTTATTTCAGGCTGATTATTTCCTAAGCTTTTTTCCTGACTCATTATTCTGGTGACAAACAAACTGTGAATCCTGAACCATCTTCCACTCAGGAGATCTAAAGATGACATGGAATTGTCTCCAGTTCTGAAGGTGATGCTGCTGCCAGCCCAATAACAGTCAGGTTTTTGTCAGTGTTATTGTGATTGCTGTCATTATCTGAATGTGATTCTTAAGGTGAAAAAGCAATGCTTTTTCATAGATGGATTGTGTGTTCCTTTTTTTATTTTCAGTTCTTCTTTAAGTTATTTTCATGGCACTTCAGATTTTTGTACTGCAGATGACTTCAGGGGAAAAAAAAAAAAAAAAAAGATTATTTAAAAAAAAAAAAATTGTTAGGATTTTTTGTGATGAAAGTCATTTTTTTTCATCCTGTGTTTTTGGGGAAAAAATTAACAAAAAAAATTAACAATAGCCTTACTAAACATGGCTGTTATTAAGATGGATGTATTTTTTTTTCCATGGATGATGTTCATCTGATTAATGAGAAGTAGCTGCTTGGAGATTGGGCGAATTTTTTCATTGAGTGCAAGTTGTCAGAACTTAATCCTTCTATTGACTTAGATGGACGTAGTCTACAAACAGAGGAGAGGTTTTGCATGACAGAGGAATTACCTTGGTTCCTGTAGCCTTGAAGAGATTGTGGACAGATTATAATTCAATATGAGGATTCCAACTCTAAGCATAATAGCAAGATGCCAATGATTTCTAGACATTTCCTTCCCTCCCTGCAGGTTGACTATCTATTTATCAATTGAATTAATAAAGCAGTTCTACAGATTAGCACGATATTGCATCTTTATGCTCTATAGACAGACCAAGTCCTGCTCTCATTTATGCTGGGAAGGATTGAAGGCTTGTGTTCATATAAAAAGAGGGAGAGAATAATTCCAGTGGAATTACTGCAGTTAATATGAAATCTTTTATTAAGAGAAAGATGTCTTAATCTCAGGCTAAAAAGAGAGATTGGTAATTTCTAGAGAAGGTGAATGGTTGAGTTAAAGACAACTGGGGAACATAGAGGGTTATCTTGACTAATGACTTACTAAGTCATACAAAAATAACTGAGATTTTAGGTTGTAGCAGCTGACTTGAGAGTGCACTTATCCCTCTATTGGGCATAGGCCGCAGATAAGGGGATCTGCTTTATTTAGTCTAAGTTATTCTAATGAGAATTTTAGAAAAAGCAAAATAGAGTACAAATGTACTTATTGGATTGTTGCTGTAAGAAGTGTTCTGTTTAAAGAAACAAGCCATTCATTTTGGTGCCACTTCAGGCATTTGCAGAGTTGTCAGTTAAAAAACAAATATAGAAAATATTAATTTATCTGTTTCACCATCGCTACTGATTACTAGGGATGTTATTGACATATACAACAAGAAAAAAATAAGTTTACCAGTCGAATAAATACACTTTTTTTTCTTTTTTCTTTATATGAACATGAATATTTTACAAAACCCCATAGCACTATGGGAAATAAAGATCCTTCTACAAAAAGAAGATGTAAGTCAGTGTTACAATAAAGCTTTAGAGTTTCAAAATGTATCTGGGCAAAGAGACAAAATCAGCTAGAAGGCACTCTTGATTCACTGAGAAGGTCCAGTCTGGAAATGCTGTCAAAACATCCAATTCGTTCATAAATTATCTCTCTTCTCTATTCCAAGGGATTGCACATAATACTAATGTGGTCAGGAAGGCTGCAGTAGATTCAGGAGGAATGAAGCTATGGCCACGTAGAGAGGAGCAGTCACTGATGGCCATAATATGGTGGCTGAGGCTGAGCTTGTAGGCTGAGGCTGGGATGGGTGATCTGAGCGCGGCCTCTGGTCCAGACGGTTGGAAATCCAAATGGGAGGTTTGACTGTGATGTAGCCATTGGTTATCCTGATATAGGAAGGCAACGTGGTGGTGCTAAAAGAAAACACAGGAGAAGGAAATTAAATGGGAGAGCCCTTATCTCTGTTCTGTGAGCTGATGTCCAAGCTGGCAGTAACAACAACCATGTCAATCACAATTATTTTTTTGCCCTCAGTAGATCACAGAGAGACTCCCAGAGGACGCTAATTGTGATGGTCTGGACACAGCTCTGATTCAGGAAGTCCCTTCAATTCTGGCTGCTGGTAGAATATAACCAAAGAAGAGATCACTCTTGATGAATTTAATTTATTGCACTCATTTTTTTTAAATTTTTTTTTTTTAAGCATCCACTACTGGCCATCTTTCAGAGACTGTGACAGGTGTATCCTTGTACTGAACCATTTGGAATGTCTCAGAGCTATGATTTCCCACCAAGGACTTGATACCAAGTCCAGGAGGGGCCAAAAGAGATGTCCTTCTCCTGTTTCACACCTCATAAGGAATTCCCTAGGATCCCTTACAACACCAATAACTTTGGGCATAGGAGACCAAGCAGTTTCATTTCTTTTCCTAGTTTTAGGGAATTCTGGATCCTATGACAATGCCAAAAACAGACTCAGGGTGAAGTTTCTCCAGCTGTGGCTTTGCCTCAATAGTAGTATGATTGCTTATTGATTGCAGCTTGAGCTAGTACTTTGATTTGAATGTGCATGTTGGAATTCATCACGATTCCCATGACAGTAAAGGTCAAAAAAGTCAGTTCTCCATTGATTTGCAAGTTTTAAGTTGTAATTTCCATTTCATAAAATGCTTCCTTTGCACCCAGCAATGGATGGTCCATAATCCATCAGCTGTCACAGAGCAGCATACGTGAGTATGCAGACTGTGCAAGGTAGATCCTGGACTTAAAAACAAGGCTCTGCTGTGGAGCAAGGGGGAAATAGACAAGTCCTTCTGAAAACAAGATGTGACATGAATACCTGCAGATTCTCTCTGTTACTTCTTAAATCTTCCATAGAGGGAATTTGGGAGCACTAACCATGACCTTCACATAATTTTTTTTTATGGTGTAAGAAGCTCTGCAGTCCTGTAACTATTTAGCTACAGTATCTGAGATCCTGACCCTGGAGGGAAAAGGCTGTGCCTTGCGTAAGATCAGATAAAAGGAACAATACTTCGTTCCAGATTCATGCACAGAATTTAGAGGCAATGAATGCTTTTGTCTTTTTCTGTCTAAGCCAATACTGAGATAGCATATAATTATCACCATTGTTCAGAGCTTTTTAGCTCAGATGCTTAAGAAGTGTTGAATTGCTCATAAGCTGTAAGAAGACCAGAGTCCACCCAGAAGAGGGCACTGGTAAACTCATGCTGGTCAACATCAAATGCAGCAGACAATCACAGCACATAGCACTTCCATTTTTAGTTTTAGGGTAATTCTTTTCAGTTCCTCCCTCATTCTTTACACTGTCACCACATTTTCTGGGTGGGACCTTAACTGATGTGCGATGAATTGGAGGTAAAGGCTGCCTAGAATTAAAGACATGGGGACTGCTTCATGAGAACAGATACTCCATTTAGCCAGTATTATGTCTTGATAGTGAGAAGGAGTGCTTATACCAGAGGAACAAACTGCTGTAAACAGAGGATTCTGAAATCACACAATGCTGGAGACAGCTCTTATCTAAATTCCTATAGTGAGTGGCTGGATTGTATCTTTAATGGATGACGCAGGGTATGCAGCTTCAGAACTTGTGATACTGCATCAAAAAACATTAGATTTGGGATAAGGTTATGCTCTGTTTTAAATCTCTAACTCCATACCGTCTGCCCTTAGTAAGGTGCTTGTACTCTTCTTCAGGTGACTTGTAGCTTTACAGAAATAAGCCATTTAGCCCTAAGATAAAATTAAGTTTGCAAGAAAGTTCTGGTTTTCAAATGTCACCACAATGCCATGCAGGATTTACAGTTTGGGTATATCCTACTCCTGACCCATTTTATGGGCTTGCTTCTCCAGTGAGACTAAAAGGTACGATGTCCCTTGCACAGACTGTCATTTTGCACCTCTGGGATGTATGATGTGAGTTGTCTGGGGTGGGGGACAGGCTGGTTAGGGATTCACAGCCAACCGGAGGGTTCCTAAAGGAGTCTTAAATCAAGAGTTTGCATTTCTGTATGATGTGCTTCCATTTTTTAGCAAACTTCCAGAAGTGTTTTGCTTTGGTGGGTTTTTTTTCCTTCCTTGAAGAAGAAGAAAAAAATAAAATAAAATAAAAATAAAGGGGGGAGGGGGGTGACACTATTAACTTAAAATCCAGGGCTTCCTGTCAAGAGACCTGAGAAGTTTTTACCACTCTTCTCAGCCAGTGAGGTCATTCACTGGTTTCAAGACATTAGATTCATAGAGATGTTTCTTTGTTAAGATAAACATTGTTAGGTGGGGTTATTTGTTAGTTAAAAAATAAATAAATCCGTAAGTGCTTTAACAGGGAAGAACAGTGTGTTTCCATTAACGTGTACAAGACACACAAATAGCAGATGAATCATAGCTTAGCCATATAATATATTTTGTTAAATGCAACTCCACTTCTAGCATGCTAGCCTACTGCCCATGTGGTCTAGAGATAAAGAGAATGATCACTTTGAACAAACACTACATGCCTTCTTGTAAAATCTTTGGTTCAAGATTGTAACTTGACCATTTCTATGGTGAGTGTGAAGAGAAATCTCAGTCTCCAGGGGGTAGAGCCTTGGATTCATTAAGGTTGGAAAAGACCACTAAGATCATCTATCTAGTCCAACTGCCAGCCCATCCCCACCATGCCCTCTGGGGGTCTTCCTTTTCCTGCAGGTTACACAAGGTAAGACAGCTTGGTTTGATTGCAACCTCATCTTAGAGGTGGCTCAGGTGATGAGAGAACTTCTCCAAGCTCACTCTGAGCACATGTGCCCAGGCGTGTGGGAATCTCACTGACTCCCATAGGAAAGGAGAATCAGGGAACTCAACCGGATGCTTCCCACTGACCTCAAAGAGGTTTTGATTCTTCCTGAACTGTATGTGTGATTCACAAGATGAATCACAGATCTTGGGGATAATAAGCTAAATTATTGTCACACATTCTCTTGCCAGATGAGGCTATTCCATGTTTGAGTTTTTTGCATCTGATAAAAATGTCTTTCGTAAAACATTCCACGTGAGTGATGATGAATAGGCAACCAGTGGCTCTGCTGTTCATACGTCTCTTTTTTGCTCCTGTGTATGGGATTGTTTTAAGAATTTGGAAGACTCCAGGTATATTTTAGCCAAAAGACCTGCGGTATCACATTCACAAGCTTGTACTTTTTATCAGATAATAGGGCAGTTTTTCAAATCACTGCTTGAGTCATACATTGTCTTACCACCACTAGAATGTGTAAAACTTTCTCAAAAATGGGGCCTCAGTCACAGGCTGTATGAACAGATCCTACTGAATCCAATTACATGAATCAAGTCATTTATGCTGGGGGTATGCTGAAGCACCTTGATGATTTGGGAGCATGTTAAAATTGAAAATAAAATGCACACACAGCCCCATGGGGGAATTTCTGTTCTGGTTTAGCTTGCAAGGAGCTTGGAAATACATTTTCAGTTTAACTTCAGGTTTATTCCCATATGCAGGGCACATTTGACCACGTGTGACACCACATCAGAATCACAGAACACAGGGCTAAGGAGGGACTTTCTGGCCCATCTGTTGCAAAGACGGGGAGAACGAAACTCTCCTGAGCTGTATGTCTAATCCAGTCTTCAAAACTGCATACAATGATAGCAATTCCAGAGTCTCTGCAGAGAAATCTGACATCCAGAATTACTGCATCATGTTTCACCAAATATCCCATGCTACAGCTCGAGTTCGTGACTCCTGCTGTCCCCACAGACCCGTTCATTCCTTTCCTTTTCTCAGCAGCCTTTCAAGTAGTTTGAAGACTTAACCATGTTTCATCTCAGTCTTCTCTCATATGTGTGAACAATTCTCCCTACTCTTTTTCTCCAAGTCCTTGTGAAAGTCCATGAGAAGCTCTGGTTCCCACTTAGGAACCCACTTTGCAGTTTCCATGAAGATGGTCTTTTCACTATTTCTGCTCCCAAACCACCCGTACTGGAAGCATAAAGCTCCCAGTAACTGATCTCAAGCTGATGGAAAATTGGTGTACTCTGAGGGGAGGGGACTGGCTCAGTTCTGGTGATGCTGAAGCTGCTCCAGGGGAGGTTCAAGTTTGGTACCAGGAAATATTTCTTCTCTGAAAGAGCAGTCATGATCTGGCAAAGGCTGCCCAGAGAGGTGGTGAGGTCACCATCCCTGGAAGTGTTCAAGAACGGTGGGGATGTGGCACTGAGGGACATGGTTCAGTGGGTAATACTGGTGGTAGGTGGACCGTTGGATTCGAGGATCTTTTTCTCACCTTAATTACTTGATTCTATGAGTTTGTATTTGCATGCATTTTTTTTTATCTGCTGCCATCTTTCAGTCCCAACATGGTTTCCATTCAAATTGGAGGAAGTGGCCTTTTAAAGCAGAACTCAAAAAGTGTTTGGGGATTTTCCTGGATCAAAAGAGCTATGTAAACACATGACAAGTATTTTAAATAAATATAAACAAATGTAGATTCAGGCTGCCTTTCTTACAGTATGAAATCTGATGAAAGCAGCTTATTAAGATGATGTGCTAGCATAGATTGAGCACTGAAAATAAGCATTTTTCAACTGACAACCTTTTAATACTGCCTTTCTTGTGAACACTGTTCTTGCAGCCAGTGGGATAAGTCCTGCAGGATGCTGAGTCTCAAACGAGCAGGACTCTTAGCTCTGCAGGCACAAGCGCTCCCAGAAAGGTTCGTCTGCACATATCTACAACTCAGCACGTTCTAAAACCTCTTGCAGGATCAAGGCCAACAGGCTCACGCTTTGGCAAGATTCATTCAGTTCATCGAAAAAAAGAAGAAAAAAAACAGAAAACTCCGATCTGGATCAGATTAAGGAATCAGAGTTTTGTCCAGGGGAGACCATTCATTTG